TGAGATTAATCCGGATTACTCCCGAGACTTGAAGTTCTTGGTGCAGTATACAAGTTTGGATGAGAAAATGGAATTGGAATGAGATTACCATCGATGATGTTTTCACTTATATGGTAGCTACTGACATAAATGAAAAATGATGAGATCGAACCGTGTTCCATTGATTAAGTGACAACGTAGAACTGATTGGATAACCGAAATTACAATTTAGGTCAAATTCCTTACCAAAGTTTGTTTTAGACCTATCGTTCCTACACTGTCCAAGGTAACCCCGTTATGTTACAAGCGGGAAAGGAAGTGTTATGTGATGAATGATATAGTGTGATATGATGTATGCCTTTCGGTGCAAGGTTTATCTCAAACGTCCTGTGATTGATAGCAGCATTATGAAATGTGGTTAATGTTTTCTCCATGGGGAAATAGATATGGATATTTACATGTAAGTTCCCGAAGAATTACATGGATTAGTTCAAATAGTTTCAAACCACGGAACACCCTCTTAACTTGTTTGAGGCGTTCACTTACAGATTGAAACAATCCGACGGATGTGGTGTACTTGATCAGTCAGATATGAATGAATGCCCTTGTGTGTTAAACTATGAAGTCTTATTCGGAATTGCTAGAGTTACAGCTTATGTAGTTAACACGAATCTCACTAAGACTCTAGAAAAGCTTAAGAAAACTACCTCGCACCTAAAGACGGAATTTGAGATGAAGGATCTTAGGAAAACTCGTTTATGCCTTGACCTGAAGTTCAAGTGTTGTTCTGACGGTACTTTGGTCTACCAGTCGAACTACACCCCGAATGTGTTACCTTGGAGTATACCTATGATCGTCCATACGTTATATGCAAATAAGACCCTTGAAGAGGTTATGGAATCCAAAATTCCATATCTAAGTTCAACTTTGCGCTTCTTTGGACTTAGCTCATTGTATTAGACAGGATATCTCATTCGTTGTTGATCTATTGGTAAAGATGCAGCACCGCCCCTACATGCAACCACTGAATTGGTATTACAGACTTACCCTGAAGGTACTACAAATTTAGGCATATCCCAATGCATCTTGAGTGGATCCAACCCCCATGACCCTGGGAATGATGCTTGCCTTATTTGTTATGCTAACACAGTTTAACCCACACAAGGCAAAATGTCCGAATGGTTATGTCTTTACCGTTACGGATATCGCAATATCTTGGAAATCCATGATATGACCTTAGTTGTGAAATCTTCGAATCATTCCAAGACTCACCTCACTTCACTACGCCACAAGTGAGACATGGTTAGAAGTTCTTGTTGAGCATATTCGAAGTACTTTCTGTTTTCATCCATCGTTGAGTCCCAACAATGATCCATAAAGACTATGCCACATGTATCCACCCGACCAAGACATGATACATCAACAAAGTCAACGCCAAGGCATATTGTGTCACTGCCGAAGTTAACCTTCCAGAAGCTTGTTCGAGGAATTGGTATGCCTAACCATTCATATGCAATGCTTGTAGTTCTCATTTGGAAGTTCTGTCAAACTCAGTGGGAGTATCCAGAAGTATACTCATTTGATCTTAATGTACTTTTTTTCCCTACGATTGGGAGCATTTTTCCTACTAGATTTTTGCTACATAACTAGGTTTTAACGAGGCACCCATCCTGGGCCGATCATATCCTTGTGAGCTCTTCTACTTGCGTACAAAAGACGTATAGTTTTGACTTAATGCAACTTCTCACTTTTATCCTTAGTCTATGAGTTTTTATCCCACCTTGGGTTTTACCATAGTGAGGTTTTGTGAGTTTTACATTTTTATGCATTCTTCCGTTGATTTGAGACTTGCATTCACTCATTGTGCCGACGACTTCATCAACTGTACTTACTTCATTATTGAAGACCTGATGCGCCATTTGCTTGAGTATGTACACACTCAAAGGGGAGTGTTGCAGTCCTATTAGATTAGGAATGTGATTGTGTAAATCCTAGTGTATCTAGGGATATATTTGAATATTCCCTTTAGTAGTTAATATCCTATTAGAATTGTAATCCTTAAAGGTTAAGGAATTAACCTTCCCTATTACTATAAATAAAGGCACAATGGGTTAGAATAGAACACACCTCACAATTACACATCTATCTCTTCTCTCTCTATGCTGCACCCTCTCTCTTTTTGGCCTCCATAATTGTTTAAGTAAATTATGCCTACAACACGAACCATGTTTCTTTTTTAAACACCAAGTATATATTGACATATTAATTTAACAATGAAATTTTGACTTACCATCTATGTTGTAGTTAATTTATGGTCTTTGATAAAAAAAAAAAAAGAAAAAAGAAAAAGAAGAAGAAGTTAATTTCGGGTCTACTATACCATTTTTATTTGTCACTACTTAATTGGATATGAGGTCTTTCGTTCGACTAGTGCAGCTGGAAATGATGATATATATTTATGCTGGAAATGATGATATATGTTTATGATAAATTTTTTGATACAATTGATATTGACGAATTCGACCAAAAAAGAGAAAGCAAATTAGGGAAGAAGATTCAAACTTGAAATCTTAAATGCATAAACTCAATGCTCTTGAGGAGTTGCAAACTCTTTGCATATATTTATGATAAGTAGGATGTCTAATTGTGACGTGAGATGACTTTATCTCTAGCTTTGGATGAGTGCAATGCCTAATTGTAACAAGCACAAATGAAAGTTATTTTTTTACCAAAAAAAAAAAAAATGAAAGTTATTCATAAAAAAAAATTTAAAAAAAAGGTAGAAGAAGTATAAGATGAGGTTTCTGATTGCTAGATTGGTTTTTGTTTTTATCAAAAATTGATTTGTTGTATGGTTAAATATGCAAATGACTTATCCAGTTTCTTGTTCTCGTGGTGATGGATTGAGATGGAGCTTTGGACGCTTGTGGCATTACATGTGAACATCGAATGTTTGGATGCAAGCATATTTAAAACTAAACTCTATATTTTGCAGCAGTTCACCACCCCAGTTTCTTAACTCTTTTATGAAAGAGAAAAAATTAACAAATTCCCTAACTTATGGGTCTTGTTTCACTTTATTTTTTGTATTTTCAATTTGGTTTTAACTTCTAAGAGTATCTTCAAAGGAGATGTTAAATCTTAGGTAAAAATATGTATGTGCATATCTGGCATAAAAATCCTTCCAACGTTATTTGCTGATTAGATTTGAAGCCTTTGTGTTTAGTAGTCAAATTTAACATCAATGCCAAAATTATTTTTTTATTAATTTAATGATGGGTCTCTTATTTTATTAACATTTCAACCAATAAAATTTTATTTCAACAATTTTTTAATAAATACAACTATTTAAAGCTGTACATTAATAAAAAAAAAATTAATATTTGACAATTAGGAATATAAAATTTGACATAAGACTTCAGCTTGTCACATCAGTCATCAATTGTAATTTGATTCTAATAATTTAACATTTTCATTAGAGATGGTCTAAGTTGTTTCCAAAAAGTAAAGTGGAGCAATGTCTAAAATTTAGGACACATCAAATGTTTAGGAGTGAGGAAAACAATGACACCAAAAGCTCAAATTTTAACCCCAAGATTACCTAAGTTTGAACGTGAATATAATATGGACTAAGAGCCTTCTCTTTGAGATGCATTTCATAAACAGTTTCTTCTCTCAACTCAATTCGAAAATGTCGTATAAAATAACATAAAACAAGGGGACATCCCTCTTGATAGTTTATAAACTCTAATATAAATAAATAAACAATATCAAGTGGCTCGAATTATTTTTCGAAATACAATCACATGCTAAGTTATGCTAGCATGATGCAAATAATGATGGGTTGGGGCCACTTTTAGTAATCAAACTGATGTTTATAACAATGTCGTCCATGATGTCATGCTTGTTTTTCTCATCTTTTTGGTGTGCAACGACAACTAAAACTAGACACAAATTTTAGAGTTTATATTTTTCTTCCAATAAGTTCGTTTGGTGTGCTGGATGGGATTGGCCCTTAGAGATTGAATTAGATTGGCAGGGTAACATAACCCATCATATTTTCCCTTATTTCAGATTTATAGTAAATCTGGTATGTGATGCAATTTCCCTCACCAAACATTGACTGGGTTATAAGTCAAATTTAATTAGAAATAACTCATCCCATCTTGTCCACCAAAAAAGGCATCCGTGGATGCTATCTCTGGAAGCATTCTAAACTACTAGAATTGGGTTCTTTTTGCCTAAAAGATCCCGGAAATATTTGGAAGAAATTGAGTTTAAAGTTCAAGTATCAAGTATCAAGTATCAAGTGAAGAGTATGAAATATATGTTTGTACAAATATAAGTAACAACAATATATAATTAGTCGAGCGTTTAAAAACGTTTTCAATAGCATTTGACAGAAAGAGTACGAAATGTTTCATAGGTATTTTCTATAGTGTTAAGAGTGTGAACTTCCATTCTAAAAATAATTGACAATATAAGGAAGATACTTGTGAACCTTTGTACAAGAAATTGTTTGTTCGGTGAATATTTCATCCTCTCAACACCTAACGCTCGTCTTCGAACCATATACCTAAAACATACTTCTCAGTAAAAGTGCTTCTTGGAATTTGGAAGAGCAATATTATAACTGAACAAGTCAGCGAGGCACCCCAAATGCAAACGCAATCCTAATGCTTCTTTGGAATCAATTTGGATTGGTGGAGATGGAAAAATGAATGAAAACTATCAGAAATATAGCAGCATTTGCCCAACTGTGAGGATAGACTGACATAAATGCTGAGGTAAATGTATGACATAATAAGAACTTGTACAACTTGCACCATTTTATTCGATCAATCGATAGGTTGTGAGAGACCAAATTTGCCCGGAAACCCAATCTGCCCTATCACCGATCATCTACAACCGATGACATCCGAAAATTGCTCGTGGAGCGACGAGGAGGGAAGCTTTGATGCAAGGGCTAAAACTTTTATGGGATCCCAGAAACTGCACCAGATAGCAGAGAAGGAAAAACATACTGAATTACAGAGATTTTATATTTTAATAAACTTATAAATAATAGGACATACATAACATAGATTACACCAGGCTTGCCAAGTTCAAATGACAAACTACGTTTCATATAGACCATGAAACAGCGACTACATCAGAAGCTTCACAGAACTTACAAAAAGCACACTTGCATTTCTTCCTCTATTTTCTGGTGAAGAAACTTCTTAACTTCCCTCTTTCCAGCCGTTCGAGTAGCTTCTTCGCTCCGGGGATGTCCATCTCTGTAAGCTTCTTGAGGTACCCGATTGCTCCATACGAGACCATCAGCTTCTTGCATTTCTTACTTGAACACAGTAATCCGAGGCAACAAACTGCGTTTTTTTTCGCCGTGTTTTGAGGACTAGGGTCAAGTAGTTGGACTAGATTTGGAACACTTTTGTCATCCGTTTTCACTTCTTTGCAATTGTGGGAAAGGGTCATCAGGCTCGAAACTGCCTGTGCTGCAACCTCTCTCGCGCTGTTTGATTTAGCCTCGAGCATCTTGACAAGGAGAGGAAGGCACCCCGCTTCACCAATCAGTTTTTTCATCTCTGTAGAGCTGCAAACCTTGCAAATTGCAGATGCAGCAGCTTGCTGTGCGCCTAGTGAACCGGTTTTAAGCACATGAACAATGCATGGAAGGAAACCAAGAGAAACCAAAACTTCCATAGAAACCGAGCCAACCAAATTCCTCAATGCCCCAACTGCAGACTCTTGTGGCAATGATCCAGCGAGATAAGCCAATAGGCTCCGAATTCCACCTTCCGATATTACAGACCTTCTGAGATTGTCATTGCTTGCAGTGAGATTCTGCAAGCACTCTGCTGCATATTCTTTTGCACCCAATAAAATACCACAATCAAGCAGATTGATCATAACTTTTACAATGCCTTCCTCAGCTAGAGCTTGTCGAACCTCCGGGACAGCAGATATGTTCTTCAAAGTGCTAGCTGAAGCAGCCTGAGAAACAGAATCACCAGTTTGGCAGATCTCAACCAGTGGACGAACCCCGCCATGCCCAACAATTGCGCGTGCTGCTTCAGCGGACATTGACAACCTCTGAAGCGAAATTGTAGCCTTCTCTTTACCAACTGCACTACCAGACTCAACAAGCCTGATTAGAGGTGGCAAAACCCCTTCAGAAACAAGCCAATTTTCACAACTTCCGGATTCTGCAAGTGAGCAAATTACAGTTACAGTCTTTTCTCGGATACGAGGAGATGTTGCAGTGAGCAGCTGGACTAAAGCAGCAATGTTGCTGCGACTCATAACTGACAGCACATTCTTCTCATCCTCTTTCATGACCTCAACAAGACTGTCAAGAGCACTATGTTTCGCGTCTAAGTGACCAATCTGAAGCCGTGCAAGCAGCTCCCTTATGTTACCATTAGAAGCAGCCTCAGGCCCATTTGAAGAACCGGTCATAGCTAAAGGCAAAGTAGCCTCACCAAGCACCCCGGTCCTGATCAAAAGCCCGCAATCCCGCAAATTTAAATCCAGTTTCCCAGACAGTGCATCCAGATTGCTCTGCATCCGAAGTTTTCCTTCATGTTTCTCCCCCACACAAAACTCCGCCAATTCAATAACTTCCTTAACCGTCTTGGATACCGACTGCAATTGCTCCTTACAAAGAGCATTCTTGGAGAAGCACGGATGACCAGACAAGTCCGATAAACGCGAAGGGATTTGCTCCAACTTTGAAATGATCGTCTTCCATCGACCCGGAAACCCCTTAACCTCTCTTGCCTTGTTCAGTGCCAATGGAACAAGCACCCTAGCATGTGACAACCATTCTTCCACTGATCGTGTGTCAATCGGAACCTCATTGCCGCCTTCTTCTACCATGATTCAATAAGCGTAATGATAAAACTGGATACCAGAGCTCACGCAACTGAAGTTTGGAAGAAAACAAAGGCTTCTAAGAATGCTAACAAATAAGAAAATGCAAAGTAAAGATATATGTGCATATAAAACTAAAAGGCAGTGGAGCAGTTGCAATCATAAACGTATAAATTATGCAATTAAGGAAGAAATTAAACAATATCATTAGATGTAAATAAAAACAAATAGGGCAACATCTATAGCTTCAAGAATCTTGTATGGTCACAGCAAGCTTGCTTTGCTGAAAACAATATCTGACCAACCATATGGGAAATTACCTAAAAGATGCCCAAGGAAAGATACTGTTGGCAAGTCATCATTAAATGCCCCAAACAAAAATTCAATCCTAAAAAATGTATATTTTTAATGACGATTATAAACTTGGAAGCAATCATATCAACTCACACGCACCGGATTCTATCAAACTCCAAAATTAATTGAGAGAAAAAACAATTGGTTAAAAACTTTATAATATGAAATAAAAGTTTGCTTTTAAAAGGCTAAGCAGAAAGCAGTGCCGTCCAATTAAAGTTGGTACATGTTTCTGCTGTAAGTGAAATCAAATCAGTCTTCACTTCTACTAAATGTTATGAGGGAAATATATGTGACCAGTGAGGAGTACATTGGTGCGTGAATCTTAAAGCTTGACTCAACCATGATCATGATGAATAAATAACTTGATCTCGACCCTAATTTCGAATCCATCTTTCTGGCGTTTAGATTAGATTAAAGTAAAATACCGCTCGTAAATAAATTATATTTTCACACTGTTTTTTTACCTCTCACACAGCTATGTTAATTTTTGTCCATTGATTTTCCTCAATTCATAGAGAAGTGCGAGAGGCAAAAATGAGTGTGTAGGAACCATCCTATAATTAGTCTTGATCGATATCCAAGGGTCAAGATTTCATGGAAAGAGACTGGGAAAGTAGGGATTCTTAACTTGGTTGCCATTTTTACTCATAAAAGAAGCTAAGTGGTTTGAGAGAGAGAGGCTTTACTTTGAAGGGAAGGTACAAGTCTCTATCCCAAGTTGTACAAATAGAGTGTGTCTTAAACTTCAGCTAGATGGATGGACCAAACCCCACAAAATAGTTTCAAGGAAATTTCAAAGAAACAATAATGAAACAAATACCTCAAGCTGATTTGACTTTGCTTAAAATCCAGAGGCTTCCACCATTGACAACCACAAAAGGAATGCAATGACCCCAGAACCATAAGTAATTGGTAAATATGATAAAATCCAGAAAAATGAAAAGACAACAAGGCCAAGGACCAACCTCAGAAAGCAACCCACTATAGCTTGCACAATCTGTTTCTCTGTGATCAACTTCAGCAGAACCCAGATCAAATTGACCGTCAAACCTCTCTCTCTCTCTCTCTCTAAATAACAAAACCCAACTCAGCAATGGTGCCGAAATCAGCAATCAAACAGCAGCTGGATCTCTCTCTCTCTCTCTCTCTCTCTCTCTCTCACTCACTTTCAAGTGGCAGTTTCAGAAACTACCCAGAAATCCCAGAAAAAAAAATCTGCTTGCAGTTACAGTAACAGGAAGAAACGGTCGAAACCCAATTTAAAAAAACAGAAGCAGACAGTGGAGAACAGAAAGAGAATCTTCAACCTCGAAGCAGCTAGCTCGATTTCAAACTCGACCCACTTCAAATTTTTGAACTTTTTTTTTGTTTTTCTAACACAACCAGACAGCAGCTGAATATTTATACATACAAAATCAAATTCCACATTCAAATATCTTCTCTCTCTCTCTCTCTCTAATGGAAGCGAATGAAATGACAAAATGTCACTCTCTCTCTCTCTCTCTCTCTCTCTCTCTCTCTCTCTCTCTAAGATGGAAGAAAATAAAATTTAAAAAGAAAGTTATCTTTTACTGTGCATTATCTGTGGAGAGAGAAAATGCGTGCTTGTGTTTGGAATATAGTCTAAAATATTGATAATATTTTGATATTTTTATCGAAATTTTCGTGTTTTTGGACTACTGATATTTCTGATATCATTGATATTTTAGACATTGCTAAGTCACACATGTATCTTACCATGCAATGTATAAAGTGTAAAATATTGTACTAATTCATTATATATAAATGATTATGGTGTGTTTAAATTTCTTTAATTAATTACTACATATTTTCTACACTCACAATGTTTGCCAGCTCGCTATATAATCAACTTAAATCAGTTATATCATCATGCAATGCATTTCCTTCCAATTTTTTGTGATAAACTAATAGATAATTAACTAACTAATCGATAATATCCCGATATTTCCATTTAAATTTCTGTGTTTTTGGACTATCGATATTTCAGATATCATCGATATTTTATAGGCCTTAAATGTCGAGCAAGATTGAGTGATCGACGGCTATGATTGCGAGTAAGGCAGAAAATCCGACCGTTGGCCATTGGGTAAATTTTGAATGTTCTTCTTTTTATTATTCGAATTGTTTTACGTTTCCGATGTGATGATGTGGATTTGCTTCCACGTGTGAGGTGAGGGTTTTGACCCTTGAATTATAACCCCTCAATTATTATTATTTTTTTATAAATTAACTCTCTAAATTTTTGAAGTTGGCCTATACATCCCTCGCCGTTAAAAAACTGGACCTAATTTCTTTAACTCTGACGACGAGGGGTAAATTGGTCAATTTCAAGAAGTTTAAGTCCTCAGTTATACCCAAAAAATAAAAGGAAAACTAATGAAAATGGCTTGAAAACTTTGAGTTTTAATGATAAGGACAAAATAAAGGGTAAAGTGAATAGTATTAGGATTGACTTTTTAGTGTAAAAATGTGGTTTTTCGTTAAAATGAACAGTACCGGTGCTTTTCGTTAAAGTTCAAAAAAATAAAAGAGTTGAGAGGGTGAAACAATTCCCTGTAACTTTATTTCTATTTGATTCTATCTATATCATATTAGATTACATTATGTGCTGCGATAGTATTTCAATTAACATTATAGTTCAGAGATTCGAACGATACTTTACTCCTTATGACATTTCAAGTTGGCTGTTTTTGCTATTCAAAGAGGTCACACGTGTGAGAGTGATTGTTTGGTCTGGAAATGACAGGGTGTGCAATTACAAATAGCAATAATGTGGTTCAACTTCGTATTTGGCGAGAACCGAACTTAAGATCTTTCACTTACAAGTGAAGATGAATACTACTAAACCGGAGTACTAAGGCCCATTTTGATATTGTTTTTTTTTTCACCATAAACTGCTTCACTTTAAAGTTAAGCAGTAAAAAAGTGTTTGGTAAAAATAAAATGTACTGCTTATTTTAAAAGCAATGACCTTTAGAAAGCAGCCTATAGGTTCCCTTCAAAAGCTGCTTTAATAAAAAATGGAGTTGAGCCATTAGAATATTTTTAAATTCTGTAATAAGCTCATTAATTTTAAAAAATGACATTATTTATCCTCCTAGACATTGCTTTTATATGGCTTTTCATACTCACAACACTTTTGAAAATATAGTCTATCAAACGCTCAACTGTTTTATTTTGCAACTAATTATTCTTAAAGCACAAGAGAATCAATTTATTAAAAAAGCATAGCAATCCCAAACTGGCCCTAAGTAGCACTTCTCTTACACCATTTGATTCTCTTATGTTTTATTCAATTTCAAGAACATAAATAAATAAAAATGTGTATGAAAGAAATTTGTGTTATTATGAAAGACATTTCCAATTTTAAATATATGGATGATTGATGTGGTAGGCAACTAAAAAAACTAGACTACATGGCTAAATGGGCTCCACCCTCTAATTTGAACAAAACCTAACATGCATCAATTTTCATGCTTTAGTTCTTTTTAAAATTCCAAAATAGTGAATTTTAAGAAATGAAATTTAACTGTTGTATGAAACTGCTGCGAACTTGCCACCGCTACTTGATCTACAACATTACCACTGTCTTCACCACCTTCAACCCCACTATTAGCTTCATTACCGTCACCTCTACTAGCATCACCTTGTCACAAGGCCTAGCAAATTTTTACACGATCCATTAACCCGACACGAAATTAACAGATTTCGAGTTGACGCGTTAAAAAATCGGATCGTTATCGGGTAACTTGATAAGCACATGTTAAGATAACAGGTCAGTACATGTATACACATAGGTAAACCATTATGATACACCCCGACCCGGAATGTCCATTTGAACTCCGAATCGAGCTGTGCTGTTTGGTCAGTATTGCACTCATCACATGCGTGATGTAAGCATTCTCGGTTCTTGAACCTAATTGTCGAATATGCCACCTCGTCGAATACGAAAAACGTGTTAGCTTTTCTAAGTTTTGGACAATTTAGATGACTTTTCGACATTCTAGATGATCATTTTGGACTTTAAGTGAAGAAATTCGCTGCCAAGGAAAGATTTAGATTGGAGACAAGCTGATGGGGCTAACATATCGATAATTGTGCACCACCGGAAATTTTACTCATTAATCCCACTAATATTATCTCGTTATCATTACCACCCCTTTCGAGTTAGGAAACCAAAAATAGTTTTTATTCCTTGGTAGTACCTGTTAGTATACCATCTATCAAAATCCCTATGAAGTTTTACTTTTCGTCAAAATCTCTGGAAATGTTTCGAACGACAATGTGGTGCTAAAGTGGTAGCACTCAACGGAAGAACATCTAGAGAACATTCATTTGGTCCCCGACAATACTAATCTTTCAAACATAGTAATAATTCCGGATCTTGAGGAGGAAGATCGATATCTGTTAAGGTCCATTCTGAAATAGATTATTAGCAATTTCCATCATGAGCTTAGAACATTCCAACCAATACTAGTTCCAAATTTTATTTCGATGTTGTACTCGTTGTTGCGATGGGTATAGGCATAGGAGTACGAATTATTATACCTTCAATTAGCAGTAATCAATCTCCCCTAGAATCAACGAAACCAAGTCATAAGACCAATTCCTTACTAATCAACCAAAACTACCTATCAGAGCGGGCTTTAACCTGTAATTAGCTTATGGTGGCGCTACTAATTGATGATATTGTTCGATATCCAGGAGCTGTCAACCAGTATTTAGGCGGTATGATTTCTGATAACAGACACATGCTAATATATGGAAGTAATACCTTCATGTGAGAATGATAGTTCATAGTTTCATGGTAACGAACAATGTTAAAATATCACAAATGTGTTAATTAGTGACGCGACTGATAGACTGATTAACAATGAGTTCTTGAGCTAAAGAAATTAAATTGTGGAAAGTTAGGAGTAAGCCTTGTAGAAGGACAATAAACTCACATTTGTGTTAACCATTTTACCCATCTAGGTAATCAAGACCTCTTCGACCAGTCACCTTTACGATCAGTTCCATAGACAAACATTAAAACCAAAACGCTAATTAATTTTTTGCTGCAAGAGCGAAATGAAATACTTTAACTGCAACCCAAAATAAAAAGAAGGTGGCTAAGTTCTTCACAAGATATTTACATATATGTACATCCAAAAAAGAAGCATAATCTTTGCTTTACTAAGAACAAGTTTGAGGTGCTCAAAAGAAAGTCCCAAAAGATAAAGTACAAGATAGGATGTAGGGGTAACCTAACACTCCAAATCTCTGATAACTGAACTGCTACCCCACCTACGTACCCCTCGAAAGCTACTCGAACTTGTTACCTGAAAGATTAGTGCCTACATCATCAGAATGGTGCACCGGGCAAACAACGACTCGGATAAGCTACGAAACTTGTGTGAGCGACAATAATACGAGTATATGATACTAATAATAAAACCAGCGATCAATCATGATTTATAAACCTTGAACATAAATCATTCATAAGAAATCAATACCAAACCTTGCAAACTCCGAAGGAGTCACACATACATCCAACGACTTTTCTAAATCAAAACTCAAAGTGCTCGAAGCCAAAATTCACAGATACACTCAAAACTAGAGCTAGAGAGATGTCGTTCGGCCGAAGCCTATGCAAGTAACCAAATAGGAAGTGGCCCCCCAAAGAAGATCAACCAAGCAGAGCCACCACTGAGAAAGTAACCAAGTAGGTAGTGACCCCCCAACGCGGATTAACCAAGCAGAATCACTCCTACAACTATTGGGAAGTGATCACCTAATGCGGATTAACCAAGCATGATCACCCCTAAATGTGTATGGCCATACCTAGGATATAAGGATCGCCCAACACAGATTAACCAAGCAAGAACATCCATATACCATTGTTACGTGGTGCAAACTTAGTGTTACCTAACTCCATGACACTAGGGTAATGGTCCTTTACAATCTCTCATGTTTATCAAACCATCAAATATATATTTCAAAACACAATCCATCAACAGTTCAAATATCCAAGTCACATAATGTTTCATAAGTAGATTGATGACAACTTTATAACAACAATGATTTAGCATAAGACCTATTTTAAGAATCCATGGTGTAACTACAAAGTATATTAGCACAGAAGATTTCAAAGTAATAACCATATCACATAGATTAAAATTACTCACATGAGGTCCACACTAACGCACTCTAGCATGGAATTCAAGGCATCAAGCTCTATCACCGCCTAAAACAAAGCATAAGTCCACATTTAGGCTTCTCTCGATAAATTCACATACCCAAAACTCTCATAAGTCTCCCACAACGACATTTAATGAGAATCAAACCGACGATCAAAGGTATGGTCCATGATAAGATCATCAATTGCTAGAATATTCAAGTGGCGGACCTTATCGAAAATATACTTAACCAACAACATTTCATAAATCGAATGTCACACATCGGAAA